CCTCCCACGACTACATTATTTACTCAAACTACAAATCCTATTTTGGCTCCATGCTGTTTCCTAGAATTACATTTGGTGGAGCCAAATTAGGGATTTGTAGTTTGAATAAATAATGTCTACAGTATCTCTAGCCTTGTTTCCTTACTTATTTTCCAATCCCTATTTGCAGGTTTTTAAATTCCATTTTTTTAAAATCTTGTTTCATTTATAACCAATATAAAGGCAAAATTTTAATCTATCGAATGGCGTATAATGTGTTGTCTATTTTATTTTCAGTTTGAAAGTTTATCTCGTGGTACACAGATCAAGTAACTTAGGGAATTAATTTAAGTCCTTTTTGTTTTAGTTAGAAAGCCAGCTAAATTATAATAGTTATAGGACATTGTTTGCTTTATGTGTGCTATTATTCTGTGTTCTTAGGTGCATTATTTAAATAAATAAAAATTATTTAGCGTACTAGCACCATCATTATAAAATTTCATCAGAAACTGACAGTCCAAAAACAAGAGGCCAAATGTAACTTACATGAGTACTATGTTTCTTGTTTTTTATGTATGTTTTTAATTTATTGTTATACAAACAACTAATATGTAAACACTAGGAACTTACTAGGTTAGGTAAGATAATAATAAATAATAATAATAATAAATTCTCCACGATGTATGCTCAGGAGTAGCTCGTACATTACAACATTCAATACGATAACGTGAGTAACACCTTCACTTTAGAATTTGTATGGCAGGATTATTAGTTAGAAAGGTTGAAATGGTAATAAAATATTAAGGTTAAGTAGAAACAGACTTAGATTTTTACAAGTCTTAAGTTATTTAGGACAAACAATTGTGGTTTTCTGTAATTTGCTATCCATCTAGAAAGAAAAAAGTGTAATTTAGATTTAATTCTTATTTTTTCGTGGTAGTTACAAGGTCGGTTAAATCGGCCGAGTCCGTATATAGTTATGGTAGAGAAAATAATTGATACAATTTAAATTACTGAAGAAAAAACATTTCACATTTATTCAGGTTAAGCAAATAAAATTTTCAGATAAAGAAATGCATTTTTCATCTTAACATGGAAATCACTTTGCACTCTGAGCAGTCAACATTCCGATTCCATATATTTACGCACAAATATTTAGTTAAAATACTCAATAAAAATTTTTTATTTTTTTGTGTGTAAAAAAGGACTTGTAATGTTTACTGAAAGTTGCCCAATTTCGTCAGGATACACTTGCCATATTAAAAGTTACAGTACGGATACTGTCAGGATTATTTGGAAAGAGTTAAATCACTTAAGCCAAGAATTTCTAAACAAGGGTTTGATGTGGTTTCAGATGGGCTCCAAGACGTATAAAATTATTCATTTCCAAATGACTTTGATATCTTAAAATTCATTGCTCTAATATTTTATAACCCAAATAGAAATAAGTTACTCCATTTCTATGGATTAATTGGATATATGTGGGAGAGGAGATGTTCTCAGAATGCTTAATATTACAGGGACTCTTGAGCCAAGAAAGGCCATTTTTTACGTGCGACTTGCATAGAGACAGATGTTTAAAGTGGAATGCAGTTAAATTAATAAACAACAATAACAAAGCAGAAATTTCTTGCATGCACATTCATTTTGTTACTGTAAACTCAGTTTAATGAAATAAACTGAAACCAAATGTTTTAGTGAAAGGTTGGGCACGGCCTAGTATCAGACTGCATATCGAAGGGTTTGGCGCTCAAGATGTGATGGTGTCAAAAATGTTTCGCCCTTTCAACTGTAAAGACGTTAAAAAGTGACAATCAGTTCCTTTATTCGGGTCAAAGAATGGACAAGGCCCTTGTGGCGATGGGTTCTGCAAGTTGGCTGCTTTCCCTCTGGTCAGTAGTTCAAAATTTGGGAGGGTTATACCCGAAACCTAGGGTCTGTGTCCTGATCATTAACGTTGTAAGTTTCGGTTCTATTCGCCTACAAGTACACAACCTTTATATTCAAGCAATAAACGTCCAAAAAAAAAGAAAAAAGAAAAGAATTTATCGATCTCATTAACAGTGCGCCTTGTAATAATACCTTATATCGATCCCGAAATTTCAAAAAACAGCCAGCACTGTTCCAAAGGGCGGATATAGGTTCAGCGACCCCTATCTGCAATGTAACAATTAAACGGATGTTGGGCGTGGTAAAACCAATGCGTTATGTGGATGCGAAGACTTAACTGAAAAGGAATATCGAGCATGACTCTTTCAACACGCACATTGTTCAAGAACTTCACAGAGACAATAAATTAAACTGAAACCTATTTAAATATGCATGGAGAATTTCATGAGTACTTAAAACCGTTACTTTAAACGGTAATTGACCTTTAAGTACGAAACTTTGGTATGGAAAGAAAGTCTGTTTCATATTACATACCCGCTTCATGCTAGCATAATATAACACTATCGCGTGTTTAGTCATTTTCCGTTTAGCTGTATTTTCTGAAAATTTTTGTCTTTTTTTTTCTATATATCGTTGAAAGTAGTTCTGTGTGCGGATATACAGGAGTGTCTATAATTATGATCCCACTGAAAATTTGAAATATTCGCTATGAAAACGAGTTTGATTAAAGAATCGTAGAGCTAATGTTTTCATCGTTCTCTGTTCAACGTAACTGTTGGATATACAATACTGTTTAGTGTAAGAGTTATTATTTAGTGACTTAATATTTAATGATTATTTCGTTTTCATAACAAGAGTGTAAAAAGTAATTATTTTAAAGGCGATAGTTAGGAGAAATTTCGTTACGTAACTCGGTAAGAGTCGAATCCTCTAAGCTTTTCTAGCTATGTGAGTATTGTTACATCATAGTGTCTCCTAGTTTCTAGAAAGTTCTAGACCTCAGTTGGAAAATATATAAATATAGGCGACTAAGTAAGTGCAAGTCAAGGGAATTTCAGATAGAAAAAAGTTAGTTAGTGAAAGAAAACGTAAAGTTAGTCGGCGTGTGAGTAATTAGCATTAACGGGTAATTTCTATAATGTGTTTCACAGCTGTATTGTAACAGCAGGGATAAGAAAAATAGTTTGTCTCGTCAATTGGGTTCTAAAGTAATTGAACCAGCCTGTATGGACGTTTGACGAAAAAAAAGAAAGAATTATTTAAAGCTCTGGATACAACTGTGATAACCAACAAAAGAAGTGAGGTGAAGTAAGTAGAAGTTAAGTTAGTGAAATTCAAGTTAGTCTGCGTGATTGTTAGTTTAGCTGAAAAAGGGTGATATTTTAAAGCGAATTTCACAGTTTAACAGAGATAAGGGGAATAATTTGTCTTGTCAAAGGGTGTTCTAAAGTAACTGAACCCTTCTGTGTGAACTCTGACGAAAAGGAGACAATTATTTAAAGCTCTGGATACAACTGTAGTAACCCACGGTGTAACGTAAGTGAATTTATCGCAGATTGATTGTATAATAAGAAACAGAGTAGAGAAAAATAATTCGCCTAGTCAATTGGATTCTAAAGTAACTGAACTAGCCTGTGTGGACTTTTGAAAAGAAAAGAAAATTATCTAGAGTTTTAGAGACAACTGTGATATTGTATAGTGTAAAAAATTTTTGTACTTACGTTTGACTTGCTTTGAATATATATATATTATTTTAAAACAAGTGGATTGTGTGCTATCCATTTACTGTTCAAAGTTATCTCCAACAAGTCGAAGACACCTACAGCAGAAGAATCCAAGCCCATATACAAAAACTCTGACAGTGACCATCATGATTATTCACACATAAAAACAATCAATGCGCCTTTGTTATAAGTAATGGATAATTTGTTTGTGGTTTATTTAGCCAATGTAAGGTAACACTATATGAGTGGCGTAGGAAGTCAATCTGTCTCAGTAAAGATGCGTCAAAATTAGAAAAATTACTCAGGAAAAGCAGGAGAATACATAAAATTTAATCCAGAACCCAAGAGCTTCCAGGTCCCTAAGGCGAACTCTGAAACCCTGGCGTAAAGGGTGTACTCGTGGCGCACATTTCTTCGCATCGCTAGGTTAAATAAACCTCCTTCCCCAATTTTGAATTTGTCTCCTACACCTCTGTATATTATGTTAGGGATATAATTACTGTTAGACACTTCTGAAAAAAAAAAGTATTCAGTTAAGATGGCGTCGTTTGTATATGATAATTTCTATGCTGTTGAAGCATGGAAAGTTATTACGAGAGTTTTATCTGTTTATATAATTTCATAAGGATACTAAGATATCTAGCTGTTTCATAACCAACGACATTGTCTCAATCAAACTTATAGTAAACTCATAAAACATGTTACTGACTTTCTCAATAAATGAATGAGTTTAGAGAATAAAAATAGAATGAATGCACTGTAGAACTACACGTTTCGTGAAATTAACTTATTTTCCTCTCTGTCCAAACAAAAATAAGTAACAAAATAGCAAATAATAAAAGAGGGGATTCATTTCCTATGGATTTCTTCAATGACGACTAGGCACGTGATTTGTTGATCAATGAGATAGGGCTCATGCGCCGAGCCAAGCTACGATGTCACGAAGAGCGAATCAGCCACGCGCCTTCACGTATACTTGTATTTTCATCGTTTACGGTTTAGAAAGTTATACAGCTGCTTGAAATAAGGCTTACCCACTGTGTCTTGTGCAATTTGAGGGATAACAATGTTGAGATAGTCTTTTAACCAAGCATACTGTTGCACGCTTCTGAAAAAAGGTGTTCAGCTAAGAAAGCATTGTTTGTAACTGCTGTGAGTGTTTATCCCTTGAAGAAACTGAATTTTCTGTTTAAAAAAAAAATCAAAATCAAATAATTTTTCTAACGTGTGACAGATTTAGAAGTGTACAGGGAATTAGGCTTCATACTTTTGTGTTAATCTGAGTTCACGCCTGTTAACAAGCTGGCTGTCCGATTTTACCTGGTTGACCCTGTGGTGGACACCATGACAGCGTTCGGAGGACCCAATCGAACGCCGGCACAGTTTGCTCTGTTTGATGCTATACAAAATAGGAGGTACAGACAAGCACTGCTTCTGGTGGAAGCAGGAGTTGATGTTAACAGTCGAAATGAGCGCGGCGAAACTCCGCTGATATGCACGTGCACTTACGTGGAGGAGTGCAAGAACCGCGCTAAGCTAGGACAACTCTTCTTGAACGCGGGCGCTGATCCGAACGTACAAGACTGGCAAGGTTTAACAGCACTCATGCATGCTTCTATTAAAGGTCAGACAGATATGGTGTTGCTCATCCTCGAAAACGTAAGTTTATTTTTTGTAAGAGACAACATGCACCAGAATACTCAGTATTGGTTTACAGCTACAAAGGAACTAATTTGTTCATTAAAAACTCTGGAAGTTCATAAAGAGTTTAGGTACAAATCAAATTACGTATTTTACTGGAATAGTTTGAATACGTTTTTTGTAAGAGACAACATGCACCAGGATACTCAGTCTTGGTTTACAAAGGAACTAATTTGTTCATTAGAAACTCTGGAAGTTCGTAAAGAGTTTAGGTACAAATGAAGTTACGTATTTTACTGGAATAGTTTGAATACGTTTTTATATTTAGTACTAAATTGTAAACTTAGCATGTAAACTCACAAAAAAACTACATTTCTTTGTTTTCTTCTATCTATATTTCATTAATTTATTAAACAGTAATACATTTTGTAAAAAATCAAGCTCCCTATTAGTGAATAGATTTACCACTTATTAATGTACTTATTAAACTTCTTTGAGACTTACTAAATATGTTGTTACTAGGGGACATCCAGGTAGAATAAAGATCCAGGTGTAAAAGTGGCGCCTGGTGGTTAGAACATTCGACTCGCAATCTGGGGGTCGCGGGTTCGAAACTTATCACTGGACATACTCGCCCTTTCATTCGTGGGGGTATTATAATGAGATGATCAGTACCATTATTCGATTAGATTTGGTGGTATATGGTGTTGAGTAACTGTCTTCCTTCTCGTCTATTACTTCTAAATTAGGGACAGCTAGCTCAAATATTCTTCAAGTAGTTTTGGCAAAATTCAACAAACAAATAGACAAAGAAAGAGGGTCTTTACGGTCGCGTACGATATTTAATATATCGGTTTATTGAAACAGTTGTAGAAAATGGCATTGTAAATTACATTTCCATCCATTTGAGGAAAATATGATTGAATGGAAAGTTTGTCTTATAAAAACACCCAAAAAGTCTGTCCAATACTTTAAAGATATTATAAAAGTATAAAAGACAAGCATGATCCTTAAAAAATAAAATAAATAATTTAGAAATATTTGAAGTATTTAGCTCTCAAGATATTACTTCCTAAAGTCACCGTAGAACGGGTTCTTTTGTCCACGTTCATTGTTTGAATAAATCAACTGATATTTAAACAACGAAGCACTTTATGTTAAATAGGTTAAATGTACTGTTTAAGACTAGAAAAGTATTAATAATATACAAATAAATCGTTTGCGGATACTTATGTGAACAAACTCTAATGTTATAACAGGTAAGTAGTGTAGCGTTTGCGACTAGACAAATACTAATATAAATACATAAATACTGTAGAAGCTACAACTAGACAAACTCTAATGTTAAACAGGTAAGTAGTGTAGCGTTTGCGACTAGACAAATACTGATACAAATACATAAATACTGTAGAAGCTACAACTAGACAAACTCTAATGTTAAACAGGTAAGTAGTGTAGCGTTTGCGACTAGACAAATACTAATATAAATACATAAATAGTGTACAGGCTACACTAAACAAATTTTAATGTTAAACGGGTGAGTAGTGTAATGTTTACGGCTAGTCAAATATTAATATATAACAAATAGTGTAGAGGTTAAAACTGGACAAAATTTGATGTTAAACAGGTAAGTAGTGTAATGTTTACGGCTAGACAAATATTAATATAAATACATAAATACTGTAGAAGCTACAACTAGACAAACTCTAATGTTAAACAGATAAGTAGTGTAGCGTTTGCGACTAGACAAATACTAATATAAATACATAAATACTGTAGAAGCTACAACTAGACAAACTCTAATGTTAAACAAGTAAGTAGTGTAGCGTTTGCGACTAGACAAATACTAATATAAATACATAAATACTGTAGAAGCTACAACTAGACAAACTCTAATGTTAAACAGGTAAGTAGTGTAGCGTTTGCGACTAGACAAATACTAATATAAATACATAAATACTGTAGAAGCTACAACTAGACAAACTCTAATGTTAAACAGGTAAGTAGTATAGCGCTTATGGCTTCGCAAATATTTATATCAAATAAATAGTGTACAGGCTACACTAAACAAATTTTAATGTTAAACGGGTAAGTAGTGTAATGTTTACGACTAGATAAATATTAATATAAAATAAATAGTGTAGGAGTTAAAACTGGACAAAGTTTGATGTTAAACAGGTGAGTAGTGTAATGTTTACGACTAGTTAAATATTAATATAAAATAAATAGTGTAGGAGTTAAAACTGGACAAAGTTTGATGTTAAACAGGTAAGTAGTGTAATGTTTACGGCTAGACAAATATTAATACAACAAAAATAGTGTAGGGGTTAAAATTAGACAAAGTTTGATGTTAAACAGGTAAGTAGTGTAATGTTTACGGCTAGACAAATATTAATATAACACAAATAGTGTAGGAGTTAAAACTGGACAAAGTTTGATGTTAAACAGGTGAGTAGAATAGCATTTACGGCTAGATATGTATAAATATAAAATAATAGTGTAGGAGTTAAAACTGGACAAACTTTAGCGTTAAACAGGTAAGTAGAGTAGCGTTTACGGCTAGACAAATATTAATATAAACTAAATAACGTAGGAGCTACAACTAAACAAACTTTAATGTTAAACAAGGAAGTTCGGTAGCGTTTATGACTAAGGAACGATATTATTTAATAAATATATAATGTAGCGGTTAAGATTAGACGAAATTTTATTTTAAAATATAAAAAAGAGGAGTGACTGATACGGCTACAAAAATCGATAAGATCAACGTTAAACAGTTAAGTATAGTTTAGCGTCTGCTGTTAATGTAGCAGATACCATCAAGATCTTTTATATTCAACGGACGAGGTGTGTAGTGGTTACGTTTTAACAAGCCGTTTCTCGAATATTAAAAATTAATGGTGTCAGTTTTTGCATTACACAAATGGAAACCAAAACAAAAATAATCATTAAATAGGAAAATACATCTCCTTTATTTCTCTATATATGACAAGGATTTTTATACATATAACAGAAAGAAGCTTACAGTAGGCACTTCATTGTAGACAAGATCGAAGAACGTGATTGCGACATCATCGTGAATTATTTTAAATGTTATCGATTCTTGCAAACCGCGATAGGTAAATGTAGATCACTGAGAATTACGCCTCGTGAAGAATAAAATTCTCGAAATTTCGAACAGCACTAGTAATTACTGTCCAATTTAAGCATAACACTTTTTTTCTAATACTATAATTTAACTAGAAGAAGATATTGCTTCAAATTACCATGGAAACTTAATAAGTTTCAGGGATTTACCCATCAAAACCATGATGTCCTAAGAAACACAGTCGTCTAAACCCTTATTCATTATTTCTTTAATCTTTTGTAAAGGATGAAATGTGTAAGTAAAAGGAGCACCGAATGAAAACGATCATGTTATATTTAATGTATAATATAACAGTAAATAGAAAAGAAAAAAACAACAACAATGCAGCGAGAAGGAGAACACTAAAACATTTACCGGGATACTTGGGGGGCCAGAGGATGCCGCCTCAGTATAATATAACAGTAAATAGAAAAGAAAAAAACAACAACAATGCAGCGAGAAGGAGAACACTAAAACATTTACCGGGATACTTGTGGGTCCAGAGGATGCCGCCTCAGTATAATATAACAGTAAATAGAAAAGAAAAACAACAACAACAATGCAGCGAGAAGGAGAACACTAAAACATTTACCTGGATACTTGGGTGCCCAAAGGATGCCGCCTCAGTAAGAGGTCGACAGATTAGTGGAGATCAAAGGATGCCGTCTGACGGTTACACAACTATTATAATATGCACATTATAGCGACACCTGGGGGTTACATAATGATTACCTAATATACACACCCGAAGGTTACCTAATTGTTATGTAATAGGCACCAGAGGGTGATGACGTAATAGAACAACGCAGTGGCACTAGAAGGCGCGTTGCTATGGCCACAAAGTGACACCAGAGGGTGAATTTGCATGATGAATGAACCACCAGAAGGTGATGTAGATCAACATGATATTAATTTTATAGTAACAATCAGTTATATTACTAAGGGCAATATTTCTATAAATGGATTGTGTTACTAAGGGTAGTGTTTATATAGGTGGATAGGGCTACTAGACATATTGTGTGGGTTTTACAAAGGCAGATGGTGTTTCTATAGGCAGATTGTGTTACTATACTCTCATAAGGCTGCCTAAAGGTCTCAACTTGTCTCAGATTATGTTCGTATTTTCCATTTATATATGTATTTGTATTCCATGTGTTTTACAAAGGCGGATTGTGTTATTAAACAGGTTGTGTTACTAAAGTTCTATAGGTGGATGGTATTTCTATAAATGGATAATTCAATAGAATGTTGAGCTTAATGTATGGTGTTTCATCTTGTGATTGCATCATCAATGTCTAGATTTAATTACATATCCTAAAGGTGTCAATCTATTATTCCTGTTTTTTATTGGTTTAACATAACTACAAAAATGTTCTTAACAAAATATTTCATTTTATTGTAGTTTTAATCAATAAATTTATTTGTATTACAAAGGAGGATTGTGTTACTGTATTTCCATAGGATTCCATACAGATTTCAACTTGTACCAACCTATATTTATGGTTTTCATTTATATGTTTAACTGTATTACATGTGTTTCTATAGGCAGATGGTGTTACTAGCATTTATAGAAACACCACCCAACCAAGCAGCATAATCCTGAGTAAGACCATCCATCAACAGAACCTTAAAAACACAACCCGCCTAGTAACACAGTCTGCCTTTGTAAAAACACATGTAATACGAATAAATATATAAATGGGAACTATAAAAGCAGGTTGAGACTAGTTGAAACCTGTTGGCAGCCCTACGGGACTATGGTAAGACCATTCTTTGTAAGACCATTCGCCTATACAAACACTACTCTTAGTAACATAATACATTTATAGAAACATTACCCTTAGTAGCACCGTCTGCCTATATAACATTTATAATAGCATCCGCCTATAGT